AGTTTTTCTTATTTTCGATTTCTTGTTTTAGAGAAAACACTTGTTATAATAAGTATTTTTTGGTGTTTTGTTTATCAGACTCTACTTTGTGGATTACTCGGAATTCCACCTTCAAACGGCGTGCTTCCACAGTCTCCTATGCATACGAGGAGTCTTGCAGTACTTAAGAGACAGGTCGAAGATTGTTCTAGCAAAATTTATTTACTTTTTCTTATAATTTTTCGAAAATATACGAGTAAGATCACTTTTTTGATGAATATTTTTGTTTGCTTTGCAGTTGATTCGGAGGAAAATGGTGAAACGTGCAAAGGAAGGCATGAAACAACAAGCGAGCCACTCGGAAATATACGGAAGAATGCATGCCGTTTTTGTCGAGATGGAAAATGCTCCTTCGGTAAGTACTCTCTTATTTTTTTGCTTATTTAGTGAAAAAAAAAATTATGTTTTTCGAAACGTGATTTAAAAAGTTCGAATCTTTCTTTCTTTAGAATGTGCTATCTATGCAAATATATCATTTTCCATAAAGCCCAAATGACCAATTTGCCACTTTTGAAGCACACGGTCGAGAAAGAACTGGCGAATTTGAAGGAGGCTGTCCTGAAGCACGATTCGTTGGTCAATGGAGAAGCAAATGACCGATTTGACCCTGAAAAGTGCATCGACTTGCACTTGCCCGTCCGAGTCAACGAGCAAAGAGTAAGCAACTTCTTGCAATCCGTGCTCGTTGGCCTCGCCGTTTGTGCTATGCCCATAATCAAAATGATTCCCACATCAGTTTTGTGGGGTTATTTTGCTTACATGGCCATCGATAGCCTCCCGGGCAACCAGTTCTGGGAGAGGCTGCTTCTCATGTTTGTACCTCAACGCCGTCGATTTAAGTAAGTTTTTTGCATGCTTCTCATGTTTGTACTTTGTACCTCAACATTTTGAAGATAAAAAATAATTAACCTTCATATTTACAGAGTTATCGAGGAGTTTCACGCTTCGTATGTGGAATCGGTACCGTTTAAGTACATACGAAGATTCACGATTTTCCAGCTGGTTTATTTCTCGATTTGCTTCGGGATTACGTGGATACCGATAGCCGGCATTTTGTTCCCATTGCCTTTTTTTCTCTTGATAACGATAAGAGAGCACGTTTTGCCGAAGTTTTTTCCACCTCACCATCTTCAAGAGCTCGATGCTGCCGAGTATGAAGAGATCGTGGGGCACCCGATCAGAGCTCGGAGTCCTACTCATCGTGTAACACAATGTTTTTTAAAAACATAATTTTTCTTTCACANTCTATTTCAAAAAAAAAAAAAAAAAAAAAAAAAAAATTGGTTTATTTTTTATTTTTTAATTCGAAAAAAAAATGCAGGATGGAGAATTAACAGGTGATGGTGATGATGGTGAGGAGGATTCTCCCGATTTCTCGTCTGCTGAGATATTAGATGAAATGACGACTCGTAGAGGTGAACTCAAGCACAGGTCCATGAGCTTTAACGAGCGGCAATTTCAGGTTCGATTAAGCCAAAAAAAACAGTATTAATTTGTTTTTAGTGTACAAATACAAGTAGTACTCCAAATAGTTTTGGAAAACTTATTTGAATTAATCCGATCAAGACTTATATAGGGTAGTTTCCATATTTTATTATTTTTTCCTAATAGTTTGGAAAATTTTGTGAGCTGCATTGTGTTATTATTACAGATCAAACTCAAACTTAAGGGTAGTTTTTTCACATTTTTTCCTAATAGTTTTTGGAAAACTTTGTTGCATTATGTTATTACATTACAGGTACTCCCAACAGAATCTAACGAGGTGTGATGGAATGTTCATAGTAAAAACGAGTCAGCTCCCCAAACCCGTTTGTCGAGAAGTAGCATATGTCGCTTGTTCGTATGTGATCAAAATGTAGCATAGGAAGTACAATAAAACCATATGAAAGATTGCAGGGGAAAATGGCCGTATTGAGAATGGAGAATTATTGTTTACTCAGACTCGGGAGTTCATCGTTTGCAAAGAAAGAAAGGTGGCATCGAGAGACCATTTGATGTCGAAGATTAGCTGCGAATATCGCTAAAATCGTGTTTTACGGATTACTTACTGTTTTTTTTTTTCTTTTTTNGTAGGAGATGAAACAGATGGTCTCTAGACTCTTGAACCAAGGGAATGTGAAGATTTTTTATTTCAATTTTTATTTTATTTTTTAAGCTTGATGTTCATACATTTAAATCTCTGCAACTAGCATGGTACCATGGATGGTTATTTCCACATTCAATAAATTATTTTAACTGAAGGATTGTGAACAAGTAATTGTTTAAAATCATCACTGTAAAAAAGGCACAGTATTTAGAATATCGATGGTTGTTTAAGAAAATGTAGAATAAATTTGCAACTTTTTTCTTGAGATGCTTGAAGAAATGGAAAGATAAATATATTTTCTGCTAAAATATGCTTTGAAGAAATGGAAATATAGATATAATTTCTGCTAAAATATGCTTTGAAGAAATGGAAATATAGATATAATTTCTGCTAAATTTTTTGTAAAGTAGGGGTGCCAAATCATTCCATTGTGTGTGTCAGTGTTTTCATGTCACCTATTTTATTTGAGCATCAATATGAAATTAAATCTAAATTTATCTATATTTTTTATTTCATGTTTCTTTTATCTTGTTTTTGTTATGAGAAATAATCACAGTAGAATTTCATCAACTTTATATACAAAGCGTTGAAATATAAAAATTTGGAAAAAAAAAAAAAAGCAATAATAGTAAAGGAATGGTTCTTTTATCAAGAGATGCTGAGCTCGTTTGATTATAACTTATAAGTAGATTGAATTAAATAATGCCAAAAATGTACATTTTGCATGTGAATAATAGTGTCAAAAGACCACATCCCATAAAAAAAAATCTTAAAATTTTTTTTCCAAATTTCCTCCTACATTCTTCAGTGCATTTTGATCTTTGGATGTATAGATAAAAATATAACAACACAAACACAAATTTTTCCCTCCTTTTATTACATGTACACTTGAATTTGTTAAGCACCCAAAACTTAAAAACTCCTCAAACTCAACTGATGAGAAGCAGATGATCACCATCTCTTACAACAGCCAAATCCTCAACCAATGCCCCATCTTTTGTAAGAACTTTTGTTGCCTGAACTCCAAACTTCTGCTCCCCCAAATCCAGAAGCNAAAAAAAAAAAAAAAAAAAAAAAAAAGAAATAAAGAAAAAAGAGAAGAAGATTGTTTGGCCAAGATCTTTCAAGTCAGACACAAAAATTAAGCATAATAACACGTGTCACGATCACGTTAACTTTACACATCACATCACCTTTTTTTTTCAAAAATTAACTATTGAACTTGCACATAGTGCTGTTAAATTAAACGAATTGGCTCTGCTCGGCTCGTTAAGGCTTGAGTTCGGCTCAACTCGTTTGATAAACTAGCCGAACTCGAGCTCATTTAAAACTCGTTTGGTTCGGCTCAGCTTGTTGATGAACGAGTCAAACTCGAGCTCATTTAAAGCTCGGTTGGTTAACAGTTCGGCTCGATAAGGCTCATTAAGGCCCAAAAAAGAGAATTTTTAATAATTTGCTATAGTTCGACTCGTTAAAGCTCGAGATCGACTCGTTACTAGTCATAAACGAGCCGAGCTCGAGCTCGATTTCAGGCTAGTTTATTTACCTTCTTGCAGTTTGATGTGAGAATTTTTATATAATTTTTTATAGTTCGACTCGTTAAAGCTCGAGATCACCTCATTGTTAGTAATAAACTAATAACAACCAGAGCTCAAGCTCGATTTTCAGGCTCGTTTACTTACCTTCCTGCGGTTTGCTGCCGCTGCCGCCGGCGGTTATTATCCCTGCCAACGAGTTCCGAAAATTGCTCATCCTTACTTCGGCGGCGGCATCCCTCCCGTCTGCCGCCGTCGCCGACGCCAGCGGCACGATCGACGGTGCGCTCGAGTACTTCTTCAGGTACGGCGCTTCGGGCAGTTCCGGGTCGGGTCCCGCAGCGCTCGGGCGACCCTCGTCGTGGTGGGCCCCACCAACCCCACCCAAGGTTCGGAAGTAGGCGTTGATCTCCTCGTGGCCTTGGTAGTCAGCTAGGGCACGTGGGGTCCACCCGTGCACGTCCGCCATGTCGATATCGGCCCCTTTCTCGACGAGGAACTTGACGATCTCGAGATTCTCCTCCGAGATGGCTGTGTGGAGGGCCGTGGTGCCAGTTATGTTGAGCAGCGTCACGTCCCCTCCGTGCTTGCTGATCTCCTTGAGTAGCTCGAGGTTGTTCTGCTCGGCGGCGAAGCACGCCAGCTGTCCCACGTCCCCCGAGGACAGCGTGGCGCCGTTGTCGACGAGGATCTTGATCACTGGCTCGTGATTTCCAAGTATCGCGTCCCAAAGGGGAACGTTTCCTTCC